AGTAATGTGGTCCCTCCTAGATGTACCAGAAATGAGCCTGACTGCCATATTTTGCACCAACTGAAGCTTCTGAACTAAGCACAGGGGTAGCCCCATGTAGAGCGCATTACAAAAGTCAAGGCGTGAGGTTACCAGTGCGTGCACAACAGTCTCGAGATCCCTTAATTCCAGAAAAGGGCGCAGCTGGCGTATCAGCCGGAGCTGATAACAGGCGCTCCTGACCATCGCATTTACCTGATTTGTCATCAGGAGCGACGAGTCAAGGAGCACCCCCAGACTGCTTTCTATGTATTGTGGTGAAATGATCATTTGCCTGAAAGTATTTAATGTCAATATCACTGTAAATTCTTGTCTCAGGTAGAGTTGGGTGGTGGAGGAATGTTACAGGAATTTCGTTATAACAAACAATGAAAACTAGATGCAGAGTAGTATCAGCCATCTTAGAAAGCACCAATTTAAGCAAACTGCACTCCTGGAACCAAATGATTAAAATAATAGGTTGAAAACATAAAAGGAGCAAACTGCAGTGAAGAAAACATCTACAAACTCGGAGCAGGATGTACAAGTTAGCCTAACTGGTGGCTTTAGATACTCTTTTTGAAAAGAATAATAAAAAATCCTGAGGGTGTGGGAGTTTCTAGATCATTCATCTGTAGCACTGACAAAGTAGACATATAACATATAGGGGGAAAAGTAGACATATAAGCATCTGCCAGGAAAGGGCATAGAATCTAACACTCATGTCAAATATGGGTAGGTTTGTCAAAGACTCTTGTTTTGTATCAGTATACTAAATTAAATTTATTTACAATGTAGTACTGAAAGTCCCACTTCATGTCAAACAGATTCACCTCCAGGTAAGTAGCCAGTGTGGTGCAGTGGTTTGAGCATTGGACTATGATGCTGGAGATCAGGATTCAAATACCTGCTTGGCCATGGAAACCCACTTAGTGACTTTGGGCAAGTCACACACTTTTAGGATTGCCATAAGTTAGAAATGACTTGAAGGCACACAACAGCAACAACAGCAATGTACAGGATTGAGGTGACTGTTCTCTAGTAGTAAATTAGGAATAAAACCATCAGTTTTGTGATTACATAGTAACAGGAGTGTTCTTCCTTTCTTCTGGTGCACTGAAAACCAGTGCAAATAAAACATCCCAGTATGTACCCTACCTATTTTGTTTGGCCAAGTCTTCTTGATGTTGTTTTTGTTCCTCTTCATGGTATCTTCTTCAAGAATCACCATTTTAGCCTGAGCTAACCTAAAATTAGAGACCTATCAAATCTTAGGAAAGTCAGCTGTTCTTTCAGCAGGCACTGAAACTTTCTGTGCTCAGTAGCATCACTAGGGTTCGTGTTTTTATTTTTTTAAACAAACAAACAAACAAATCTGGGGCCTCTTCTTCCTCCTCCCATTTAGCCTCACCCCACTTGCAACATCTCTTCAGCATTTTAAAGAGATACAAGTGAATTCCACAGCCTGTTTCTGTCAAAATGCAAATGTTTGAGGAGCAGTGGTGCCACCCTGCTTATTAGGGTATCACCTGGTGTGGTCCACACCCCTGTTCCCACTAGTGATGCCACTGTCTATACCATCATTTACTCTTTCTATATCATTTATATAACAGGGTTAGGGAACTGGTGGCTTGCTAGATGTTAGGTTACAACTTGCATCAACCCCAGCCAATAGGGCAGGGATGATGGCAACTGGTATATTACAACATCTGGAGGGCTATAGTTTCCCTGTTCTTGCTACATAGATTCCACAGTCTGACACTCTGATCCTAGCCAATGATATATCTGTATACTTTATAATTGCTAGTCCCATCCTAAAGACAGCAACAGAGTCCGATTCTTGTGATGGACCTGGGTTGGGAATCACATGGTCTTTCAGACATTGTTGGAGTGTAATTCCCAAATTCCTTGCCATTGTCTGTGCTAGTTATCTGGCTTGGTGACTAGCTAGGGCTAGTCCAATAACATTTGGAGGATTTTTATCTGTGTTAGGTAGTAGGACATTACAGATGTAAAAAAAATCTTCATATCAGCATGGTTAAGCATCATGGTTGTAAAATAAATATGGGTCATGGCAACTACTGGGATAATTTCCATGTTTTATCTGCTTTTGCCCATCTGTAGTACCCTTTGTCACTTATACACAACTCCCCTCTGATGAACTATGCATCTCAGCTATTTACTCTGTGTATGCATGTGCCTTCAAGTCACCTGTCAACTTATGGAGATATCATGAATTTCATACGATTTTCCCAGGCAAAGAATACTCAAGAGATTGAGGAATGCATAGGCAAGGAACACTCAGAGTCTCATTGCAACCACCCTAATTCATAATGTAAGCTTTCAAATTACTTTTTTTCCTTTTAGGAAAAAAATACATATTAAAAAGTAAAAAATAGCCTAACATTTGAAAAATAAATTACCCCAAAATGCCTCCCCAAAATATTTTAGCCTCCCACAAGGTAACAGACAATAGCTACGGTTTACATAGAAAAAATAAGGACATTATCAGTTGTTACACTATTTCTGTTCACGGGACATTATTATACTCACATTATTTCAATAAGTAAAGCATAATTGGTAATGTTGTTATATGTAACATATTATTTCCATGCTGTACTAGGAAATTAATAGTACCGTATTTTCCAGCGTATAAGACAACTGGGCGTATAAGATGACCCCCCACTTTTCCAGTTAAAATATAGAGTTTGGAAAGACTATGACTTCCAAAACTGTTGTCGTTGTTACTGTGCACCTTCAAGTCATTTCCAACTGATGATGACACTAAGGCAAACCTACCATGAACCTTCTTATACCCGGCGTATAAGACGACCCCCCCACTTTAACCCCAGATTTTGCAGGTTAAAAAGTAGTCTTATACGAAATCCATGCTGCAGAAACTTAAGTGTTCCCTGTGGCATGTTCCAATATTAAATAAACATTTTATAATTGTAAGCATGATGCCTTTCATGACACAAGCATGTGCTCAAAATGTCATGTATGAAGTGGCTCTTAATCCTCATACTAATCTTAATAATACTTCACCTAAATAACTGGCGGTAAAGCCCAAATGGAATACATTCAACTACTTTTGAGTCAGGAGAATTATGTTGGAAATGGCTCTTTTAGTCACAAAAGTCTATTGTCCTAGCACTTTCTTATAAACATAGTCTCCAGAATTCAAACCCCTGGCTGATAATATAGTATTATTCCAGAAGATACAACTGGAGTTTGAAAATATCAAGCAAACCGGAGGGCTGGCTCATTGCGGTGAGGATTGGTATGGAAGTAATAATACTAAATTAGTGATAGAACAAATGTCCCTATATACTGTTCTGAGTGTCCTCTAGCTCCAGACTCATCATCTGACATGCAGACTGAATGTGAACAAAACATAGTAATTTTCAGCCGATAAAGCCTTAGCAGGAATAGTTGCTTAATTCTAACAAAATCCATGCCAAGTACAGTGAGACGAAAAACGCAGGATTGCTGCCACTTAAATGAGATGAAATGATATTTAGACTGTATTGCTTTCCTTTGAGTGCTCTCAGTATGCCCCAGAGAAGGCCATCTGGCCAGAACACTAGTTCTTTTGTTACACCCTGCTTTGGAGAAAGAAAGAAGGCAGCTGAGCACCATTATACCTGCGAGCACTGAACAGGAGGAAAAATGCACCAGATATTTAAGGATTGGAAGGTAGGCTTTTGTGGTTCTCTTACTGCAAGCCAAATCCATATCCTATCATGCTCAGCACCTCAGCCAGCCTCTACGAGCTGAGTGTGAAATACATGTATTTTGCACAGTTTTGCCCACCCTCTTTAATACTGTTAGGATTACCAGGGTGGGAGCGAGACAGAAAGGAAGGAAAACAACATCAGGACTAAAGTGTTACATGTTCTACATGTAGGATACAAAGAATCCAATGTACTTAAAAGAAAGATTTACATGAGAGGTTACAGCCCAGGGGTTCAGCATTTCATTTTATGCAGAAGGTTGCAGGTTCAAACCCTGCCATTACCAGTTAAAATGTTCAGGTAGCTGGTATGAAAGGCTGCTGACTGTCACTCTGGAAAGCCCTGGAGAAACCCTGAGTTAAGTGGACCAATGACTTCATTGTAGGAAAGCTTTATATGTTACTCTTTGCTATCTGAAGTCATGTGGCTAAATTCTCCATAGAGCAGGGCTCCAAGATTAAGGATCCCATTATGTTTTCTGTTTCCCTTTTCCTCACAGAGTGCAATGTACGTATTCTCTTCCCAAACAGCACTTATCTGAACACTGTAGTAGATTCATTTTTGTTAGAGGAGCCACGGTAGCATTCAGAGTAGATATTAAAGTATGAATAAAGTATTAGTTGTCAACAGAAGACTTGCAATGGATGTATTTTTTTTAGTTGACAAACAGGATTCAAGGCCTCTCAAAACACAAGGAAAAATCACATGCAGTAACTTCATTCATGCATGTGAATGTGAAGCATTTTGATATAAGCTGTTGGTTACAAACTGAAGTCTTATTTTGACCTTTCAAGTCTAGTCTTTCCCCTATCACTTCCTTCCTTTTACATGAGCCCTGCAAGTTTTCCCCTCCCTCTCTGACATACCTCTCGGGAGGGAAAGACACCCATCTGCATGTAAGAGGAAGAGTCAGTCTCCTAACTGCTGGGGATTCATCTTGACAGTCATGAATGACCAGATGTGACCCCCAAAACCTACGTTTGCAGCCTGGCAGCCTTTGAAGACTAAAGCATTTCTGAGGTGCTGCAGATTGGAGTGATGGTGAATTATTTTTTCAGTACTTTTCCAGTTATGGGGCATGCTGAAACAAGCAGTTGTGGCTGAACTCCAAGAAACCTCTCTAGTTGCATAATCTCAACAACTGCACAGCCAGGGGAGCACTGTAGATGCTGTTCTTCAATGCCCCAATCTGCAGCACTTCAGAAACCCTTAGGTCGGGTTCCTGCTAGCCTGCAAAGGGTTTTTTGAGGTGGCACCATCAGACATAACTACAATGAAGGGGCCCCATTGTTACAGTTATGTTGATGATGCAAGATTTGGGCTGTGGTCTTAGTTCCCACATCTGCCCAGAGAGCCAACAAAAGCCAGGGCAAGCTTTTGTTTGAGCCAAAAGGAGCAATTTGAATTGTGGCTGTGACTAGCAATATGTTATGGTGAAATTTAGTTGCTTACAGCATAATCCAATGTCTGTCTAATCAAAAGTAAGTCTCACTAATTTACAATTAAGACCCAAGCTCATATACACAGGCTTGCTATCTTAAAATAGTCTGCTAAACAGTCTTGTCATTGAATATTAGGTGGGAGACTATGTTCACAGTTTTTGACCCCTTTGCACTCCCTGTACTGTCTTTTTCCTGGTCCCCAAAGGGTGATTCTCCTCTCATGAAACCACAAAGTGGTTCATATTCACAAAAGCTCATGCTAAAATAAAAACCTGTTTTTCTTAAAGGTGCTGCCACATTTTTCTCCTCCCCTTCACTTCCTCTTTTTTATGCTGCAACAAACTAACTTGACTGTAATAACAGTGATTTAAAACTAAAATAAAAATCAAGCTACATATTAAATAACAAGTTTGCAGATTCCACTTCTGCAGAAACTGAGAAACATATCTTTGTTTTACTGAATGGAAATCACTGAACTTCACATATAAAAATTATTTTGCATTCTCTTTCACTGAGAGTTCTAGTAAATATCAGCCCAGCCAGTTGGCAAAAGAGGAATAGAAATAACTTAATTTTATCTACCATAATACACTTTCTATGTCAGTTTGCACAAGAAATTCCAAACAAAATGCTTCTTAAAATTTATATTTTAATTATGAAGTTTAATGAAGTACTTCTAATCATTTCATTTTTAATGTCTCCAATTTACATTTCAAGTACAAAGTGGCGTAATGTCTCAATC